TACTCTGAGGATAAAATACACTAAATACAATGTTAGTGCAAAGAAACAGAATATAATACACAATTGCTATCAGTAGGCTAGTCAGCTGGCAGTCACCTGCAGGTCTCTATCTGTGGACCTGATAGTGATTGTACAGGTTCTACAATGACACTTTTTTATCACATCATTTGTAAGAATGGCTATTCCCATTTTATGTCTCTAATGTCAGTGGGCAGGTTAATAACACCTCCTAGACTCCAATTATGCAAATGCAATCAACACCTGGTTGTTACTAACAGAATATGTGGATTGGAGCAACATTCACCATATTTATTCCCAGATAATTTTCGGTACAAGTCATTCTGAATGGAGAAAGCTGGTCGGATGATCAGTGAAACGTCTTCAAGAAAAATACAGAAAGTGCAGTTGCCTTGACTTATTTTTTACAGCTATACCATGTGACCTGGATGAATGAACCTTCACACACTGATCATCTTTAGCTTTTATTGCTCCGTGATTAGTTTTTTTTTCAATTTGTATCCCTTATTTTTATTTTCCATCAGAATCCTGACAGCAGAAATCCTCTGCGGCCTACAACACCTTCATAGCAGAGGAATCCTGCACAGGTAAGGATCGGGACCATACCATGACAATGGGGTATAGACCTCTGTTTTCCTCTTTTCTCCTGGGACCGAGTCCTCCTCAATAATTGTTTGACACACAAAGCTTACTGTTTCCTTCTCCTTGCAGAGATTTGAAGCCCGGAAACGTTCTCCTGGACAGCAGAGGCCATTGCAGAATCTCTGATTTTGGCCTGTCTGTCCCGGATATGTTTCACCCTCGGACGATCACAGGACCTGCCGGTACCCGATTGTATATGACCCCGGAGGTAAGAAACTGTCTGCTGACTTTTGTAGTGTTTGTCTGGATACAAGGCTCATCGTTACTGGATATAAAAGAGTTAAAGGGGCGCACTCCTACTCATCTTTCCTCATTTATGTTTCTACAGGTCTTATTCGGTCTCCCGTATGGATTGGCGTCGGAATATTTTTCCCCGGGGGTTGTGGTGTATGAGATGGCGATGGGCAGACTTCCGTACTATCGCCCTGGCATGGACGGACACATGTTCCAACATGTTCTCTTACACCAAAAGCCCTTCTACACCAGAGACCTTTATCCTAGAGCCAAGGACATCATAGAGATGGTGAGTATTGTTGTGGAAATGTTATTAGGATGTGTTTTTAGTGTATTGTAATGTTTTGTCATTAGTCTCTCAGTGTCTCGGTGTAAATAGACGCTGGGGGATTAATCATTCGGGGGAAATTCTTTGCGTTTGGCGCAGCTTAATGCGACATGGATTTGTGCGTTGAACCAAGTGAATTTCCATAACAGTATACACCAAGCTTTATACCGGGGGGGAGGGGAAAGCACATAGAGGGGAACAAAGCATCATGGGAGGAAGTTTTGGCAGGGTCAGCCCACATATGTGAAACCCCCGGTCTGATGGAGAGACAGTGGAGGTCTTATATTAAGGCAATGTTGGCCAGAATCTGGGGTCTGGTTGCGGCAGCAAATGTTGGCGTGATCGTGCAGACAAATAGAGACTGTACGCCGATGCTCAGATGAGCCCGGGCACAGATTAGCACCGGCACAAATCAGACAGTTGTGATCAATGTCCTCCAAATGTTTTCTCTCATCTCCTGCCTGAGGCCGAACAGAACCGCAGGTTGCCCGGCACACACAGGAAGCCTGAAATAGGCAACTGTCAGAGGGAAAAGTCAGGTTCTGTTGTCTCATTCCTTATTTCTGTTTCTTTGTTACAGCTGCTGGAAATAAGACGGCATTACAGATCTGAGAATGTCTGCCGCCTCAGAGAACGGACATATTTCTGGCACATCGATTGCCCCAGTTTATAATCCTGTGAGGAGCGTCCATTCATTCATTCATTCAGGACCAGTAAGTGTATAACAGAGGGGTTCAAATTCAACCTATGTATGTGTGCGTGTCTATGCAGCCATGATCGTAGACAGTCCCTTGTATATTTGTTGACTTAAGAAGCTCATCTAAGAGCTTTTTGATTTTCTCAATGTTATACACTGATAACACGGACTGTGGAAGGTAATTCAACATTTTTACTACTCTCACACAGGAAAACGCCATGCGCAGTCTTATATTACATCACCTCTCCTCCAAACGTTTGTTGTGGCCTTGTGTCTGGAATGAATACAGTTCTTGTGCTAAACAAGTTAGTGATGTTGATAATCTTCCACAGTATAATCAAGTCCCCTCGTAGGCGTCTCTTTCTAAGGAGAAGATGTTAAACTTTTGGAGGCGATCTTCATAGCTCAGGGCAGGCCCTCCATCCCTTTCTAAGTTGTGTAACTTTTATCCCAACTCTGTCCAGATCAAGGATGCCCTTCCTGAGCATTGTTCACCTAAAGCAAACCGCATACTCAAATTGAGGCAGAAACAGTTCTTTATAAGGAGGAGGAATGATATTTTCCTCACTTGACACAATCCCTCTTTTACTATCATGCTTGCTTTGCTGGCTGCAGATTGGCATTGCATGCTAGTGCTAAATGTATGATCTATGTGGACCCCCAGGTATTTTTATATGTCAGACTTCCCCAGTGTAGCACCACCCCAGCCAGTAGTTAGCATGCATGACATGTTCCTCCACCTGGGTGTATAACCTTGCTTTCCTCAATATTACATCTTATTTTCCATTCAGCGGCCCCGGCCTCAGTTTCATCCAAGTCATTCTGAAGAGCATTTAGGTTGTGTTCAGAAACCACGGCCCTACACAGTGCAGTAACATCAGCAAAAAAGTAGATAGAACTGTATATTGTATTCCCGATGACATTTCCAAAGAAGATATACAGGATCGGGCCTAGGACTGAACCCTGGAGCAAGCATCGGAGCCTCTGCTCTTCTGATCTTGGACCGGCCAGAACTGACAACACTAATCACCGAGTCCAGCGGGTCACTAATCCCTGCATCCAGCGGCTCCATAAACCTAGGGTACCATGGGTCACTAAGTCAAAATCATATACTGTTCTGCATTACTGTAGTAATGTATTGCTGGGATTTGTAGTATCCCTACAGCTGTTGCCAGTCAAATTTGTAGTGTGAGCTCCTCTCTATAGAGACTCACGTGACAGGCTCAGTGTTTTCTGTACATCACTGCGGTATGTGTCAGAGCTATATAAATGTATAATAATAGTGTGTGACTGTGGAGGGGACATTAGAGTGTAAGTTCCTCTGTACAGAGACTGATGTTACTCTGGGGGGGACATTAGAGTGTCAGCTCCTCTGTACAGAGACTGATGTGACCGGCTCAGTGTTGTCTGTACAGCACTGCGGTATATGTCATAGCTATGTATATATAAAATAATACCAGTGCTACTTGCTCATTGTGGAGGCGGTTGGGGGGGCTCCCCGGCCTAAAGCCGTGGAAGGGGCCCAAAAATTTCTGATGGCTGGGAATGACTACAAATAGAGGCTTTCATAGAGATTAAAACAAAAATGGGGGGGGACCTCAAGCTTTTTTTCCCCTCTTCTGCTGACTGTAAAAAACCTGTCACTTGGCTGCTACGAACGAATGAAACGAAATTTCGACCGGACTGCCGCTAACAAATTTTTCCAAAACTCGAATCCCAAAACGAATTCAATTTCGGACCTGAATCCCGAAATAACGCAAAATCCGAATCAAAACAAAACACATTTTTGGCCAGTGCACATGTCTTGTAGCTACGTATATCTTTCTTATATACAAGACTTCCTCTACTTCTCTATATTTTAGTTTGATTATTATGAGGAATGTTTTGATATTCTTTGGATCTGATGATTCATGAGGACATCTTGACAATTGTACATGATGATGCCTTTAACAATCAATAGCAATATTTCTTATATGAGACCCATGTTATAGTTATGTCACAATTTGCATTGCCTATAATGTACACTTTACGCTGGCTCTTGTATCCTATTGCAAATCATCTCCTTTGTACTGTAAAACATTTTCTTTCAATAGAAATGTATTGTTGGAAAAACAAGAATAAGCCACACAGCAATGACATGGATGGGTGGCCAGTTAATAACGGTATGCAAGTCAGCAGTTCTCATTTCCCTCCCTCCTGTAAAGTTATTATAGTGTAAATGAAGTGTGATGATGAGCAGTGATGTACAGGGCTTGTCTGTGGGGTTAGAGCTCTGTTACCGGCTGCTTTGTGCTGTGGAGGAGGTGAAGGTGGTTCGAGGTGATGATGGCCATGCCTGGCCTACAGCTTGGTTGTGCTGAAGATAATTACGGAGCCGATTTCCTCCATCTTAGGGAGATGGACTACCATGACACCTCCCTTGTAAGCTCTCACACCCAGGACCCTCCTAATCCTGTTGAATGGAATTGTATTTGACCTTTATACTGTAAAGCATCGGCTCAAACTGGTGGCACTCTACACATCCTGAATAATAATAATGTTGTAAGGAAAATAGGCACCAAGAGTTGTGTACTTTCATTTTTTATTACCAATGTTGTGACAAACCCTAAAGAATGGCTGCACCCCCCCATTATAAGTGTGTAACTACAATTGTATGCACACAAAGTGGTAATATGAGGTAAAGCGACATAGTGGTGAACACTTACCATAGTTTATAAGGTGCTTTGGCTGAGTTCTGCTGCAGCAGCAGAACTCACTAATTTGCCCCCCGAAATCATCCGATTTATCTTCACAACATGTAGAGTGAGATGATTCTCCCCATGTAGGGTTTCATGTTTCTGCTCATCCTCAGCCCCTGATTGGCTGCTGCAGGGGCTGGGGGCATTATGGGGTAGCAAAGTTTTCCACAAACATTGCAGTTCCTCAGTTCCAGCGTTCCTGAATGGAATACTCGATATTCTGAGAGAAATGACATTTTTCACAAACGCAGAGTAAAACTACTTCTCATAAATAGATGTAAAACGTTCCTTGGCCATTCTTCATCATGTCTGTTCTGCGACGAATCAGACGGCCGATCTTCCACTATTTCAGTGGGAAGGAGGAATACTGATACCCGAATGTCATTGACTTGTGGATGAGATCTCTATTCTTATAACATGGGAAATACGGTGTGGCGCAGTCCTCTGGACCATGGCCAACCTCACTGTTGTCAGGATATAAAGTCGGCGATGCGTCATATCTGGTTATCCACGTTTCAAAGATTCTGCAGAATGCAAAAAAAAGAAACAAAGTATGAATGTCAACATGTGTCTGTACAGGACGCTCAGAGTGGGAAATGTTTGGTCTTTTCTACAAATGGAAGTCATTTAATAACAAACTGCTTTTATATTGCAATACCAATGTGCCATCATACAAGCTGACTAGGCCTAATGAAGGAACAAAATGGCTGCCAAATGCTGATACAGTTCAGGTCATTCTCACAGAACAAGATCAGATGATCAAACATTAGACTATCACTCCATTGCGATTCAAATGAGACCAATTGAATTCTTAGGTCTATAAGAGATGACTGATTGCCACACCCGAAAAGTCTCCTCGCTTAGAGACTCAACATCTCACTGATAACAATCCATCCGAGGAAACTCGAGCGAAACAAAAGACATTGTTTTAAGTTTATCAGTTAAAGTGAAAAATAAACCCTGAGATTGTGTAACATAAACCAATACTGTAATGTCGCCTTACTGTAATCCATGGTTGTTTCCCTTCTCTTTGCTGCTCTTCCTTTTAAATCCGTATCTCTTCTCATGCTGGGGAGAACGTCTGTTTTGCAGCAGACTGCCTTGTCTCTGGAATGGATACATGGTGTCTGTGTGAAGGTTCACAACCTGAGCCAGCACTACAGGAAGAGGCAGTCAGCTGCAAAGGGAAGTTCTCCCCAAGCATGAGAAGACATGAGGATTTAAAAGGAAGAGCAGCAAAGAGAAGGGAAACAACCATGGATTACAGTAAGGCGACATTACAGTATTGGTTTATGTTACACAATCTGAGGGTTTCATGTCACTTTAAGTTGGGATGAGAAGATCTCACAGCAGATGGGAAGTGTAAGGAGCACAGGATTGACAAACCAGCACCGGTGTCCCCCTGGCCAGAACTGCTCCCTACAAATTAATAATCATTTCTATACTCCTGAGAAGTTGAATTATCTGCATTATATATAATATATCATTTTCTGAGAATAAATCCACGTGTCTAATTGTCATTTACCTGTTAGGAATGTGATAAGAAACCGTTCATTAATGATGAGAATTGATACATATCTTTCAGATATAAATAAGTTCTGATATTCTGGGACGAGATGTCCTAATCGCTCTGATGGTTCAACAGATTCAAACTATCGGGGGTTATGAAGGAATTTTCCCCAATAAAATAATCCGGGTTTTTATTCACTATACTGGGATAACATGAAATATTAATACTAGGGTTAGGGTTAAAAATTCAAAACTGAAAATAAAATAAATGTCAGGCCGAAACTGAAACTGCAATTTTTTCTAAACTTTTCAAATGTTCTTAAAGGAGAACTATGAGGGGGGGGGGGGGTTTTCACTCACCTCATGGTTCGGGGCGCGATGGGACAATGATTTTTTCTAGATAGGAGGAGCCAGCTGTCAGTCACGCAGCTGGGCGGATCTCGATGTCGGGATCCGTTCCGGCTGTGGCGTCTCAGTATACCGCGAGCTGTAGCTCCCTATATACTGAGCTTAGGGTGACGGGAGGACGCTAGTTTGTGTTACCCTAAGGAGAACTATGGGGAAAAGTCCTGACCCCGTAATTCTCCTTTAAATATTTTATTTGTATTTATTTTTTTATAAACTTTTTAATTTTTTATATTTAACTTTTAATTATTTATTTTTATTAAATATTTTTATTTTGTACTGTTACTCTATACTGAGTGTTCCTGATCATTCATAACTTGTGGAGATAGTATGATTACTAGGTACACATATGATGTAGATCCCTTCCCATGCATTCATAATTGGGGACACAGTAAACATACTCTGTCCTCAATTATTTACAACACTCATCGATCACTGATCACCCGCTCTCCCTCCTGACTCGCTGTCACAGAAGACTGAGCGAGCGGTGCGGGAAAGAGAGCTCAGTCTCCTGTGACAGCTGCTCCTCCCCCGCACTGCCGGCCCGGCCTCCTGTGACAGCTGACTCCTCCCCCACACTGCCAACCTGACCTCCTGTGACAGCTGTCTCCACCCCCACACTGCTGCTCTCCTGATCTGTCACAGGAGGATGAGCTAGCGGTGCGGGAAGGAGAGCTGGCTCTCCTATGACAGCTGACTCCTCCCCCTCACCACCGGCCTGGCCTCCTGTGACAGCGGACATATGTCTCCGCCCCCACACCGCCGCTCTCCTGATCTGTCACAGGAGACTGAGCGGGAAGAGAGACCTCGGCCACTTACAGCGCGTTCCTCCCCGCAGAGCTCGGCTTCCTGTGACGGATTCTCTCCTCCCCACTAGTACACAGAGCAGCGCCGAGCGGGGAGGAGAGAAACCAGGGATGCAAGGCTATTTTGTCCGAAAAATTGCCCTTTCGGCATTTTGGAGAAGTATTTTAGCGAGCTGAAAAGACATCCAGGGAAGGATTGGTGCTGGACACACTGGATGACGTACGGGCACACACTTGGGACATTTGGTCTTAACACACTTGGACATCTTGACTTCATTGAGATGCTTCCTGAGGCCATTATATAACACACTTCCTGTTTATAAGACTTCCCGGATGGACCTGACCTGGAAGGACCTGACGAACACTCATTCTATTGGAAGACGAATCCCCAACGAAACCCGTTCTAATACCCGACAGAAACATCTGCCTGGATAAGAGAGGAGATTCTTACTTATCGACAAAGCTGTGATGAAAAATGAAGATGGGGTCATTGCTAGAGATGGGGATCTGAGACATGGTTCCTCCTAGGTAGATGTGGACCAGGTTGTGCATGCTTCTTCGCAATGTCACCCCATCTGGTGACAAAAACCCTGAAAGAGAAACATCATTACCTCATCATCAGCAGAAAAAAAATCTTATTAGAAGAATCTGGGAAGGTGGACACCGCTCTCGAAATAATCCGGGTGACAGCATAGCAGGTATATGGACAGTCCTCATGTTTGTAAGCTGCCCTCATATTATTATTACATGTAATGAAGTACAGAAAGTTGGATGGGACAATATACAACCCAATGTGCAATGAATTACAGAGACTTCAGTTAACTCAAGGCGTTGGTCTATCCCTAAGGAGCTGAGACGTCACCACCAAGCAGATCGGACACAATTAAAGCTCCAGGTTGAATCAAAATGAATGAAGTAGCAGAAATTTAGAATAAGACAAAACAAGTCAAAAACATGAAGAAGATCACACAAAGAATAATCACTGTGCTGGTATGTGTTACTCCATATATGTGCCAGCTATGGATATCACATGACCAATCAAGTGACTTGAGAAGAAGTGTAAGTGTGCTATCTGCTCAAATATGAACCCCCCTCCCCCAGCCAGGACCCGCAGACTAGAATGAAGCTGTAGAGTTGGAAACCAGAAGCACTTTATCTATAGGAGAGGCAGTTCTGGGGGCCAGGTCGGGGTAACAGATTAAGATTTCCCATGGACCTGTTTAGCCAAGTGATCCATAGTTGAAGCTCTTTGGAAAGCCCTTGGTCTGCTCCTTGTGTTAGTAGACATACTGCCTCTGAAGGGAACGGAGGACTCCGCATATAGTGAACTTACTGAGCCTTGCAGAAATAAAAGACAGCCAAGGTACAGAAGACAATGCAGCCCAGACCACAAGAAAACCAAAACAGAATCAGAAATGCCAAACACATCCATGTGGGAGCTAATGGAATCAATTAAAGTCCAACAATAAGGACACAGACATTGATAATAGCATTGTATATATATATATGACCCTAAAGCTTTGTATCTGCAATCAGTGGATGGCACGTGCAATACTCTGACTCCTGAAGACTCTTCCTCCTGTCCATGTACCTCAGTATTGACATATATATGGAACCCTATACATGCTCCATGTTATGTCTCTCTACTTCTATCACTCTATCACTTCTGTCCTCATGGTGAGGACTCTAAACGTGTATCTAAAGCCAAAAACAACAATGTTATATATTACAGCTTAACAGTCCCTAGATGTGGTAGCTGCATTAGTTTTCTTCTTAAGTCCTGGTTCACACCTAGGCGTAATGTATATGCCCGTCTGTCGCGCGGGTTTTTTTACCGCGATTCGCGGTAAGAAAATCGCGTGACAAACGTGCGTTTTCGAGGGCTACTTGGCTGTATCCCAATGGAAACGCGCAACAAAAACGGCCCAAAGTAGCTCCTGGACCTTTTCAGGCGTGGGCCGTTTTGTAGCGCGTTATGGTTGGGCTGAAATACGCCGAGGTGGGAACCAGACCCATTGAATATAATGGGATTTAGATGTTTGAGCGTTTTGTAGAGCGTTCGTCGAGCGTAGAACGCGCTACAAAACGTTCAGGTGTGAACGAGGCCTTAGGCTTTTTTTCTTACCTATCATCACAGAGTACAGAGCCTGTGCAGAGAGCAGAGTTGTGGGAGGGGCCCAGCAGAAAACTACAGGAGGGGCGGAGATAAGACCAGTCACCCTGCACAAGGAGAGAGCAGCAGTGACTGGTCTTTATTATAGGAGGGGGCAGAGACAGGACCAGTCCCCACGCACTTTTTCTTGGAATGTAACATGGCATCTTGACAGCAGTTGACATTACACCTAGGGAGTGGTAAGAACTCTTAGATTGCTCAGTCACTTCTTGGGTATCTGTCATCTCCTGATCACGGCTTACCTGTGACACTAGGAAAACCCACCAGAGCTTCTGGCAGCCATCCTGGAGCAGCCTGTGTCTGGACACAGAATTATTCTGAAATTTGGGCTGCCATATTGAATCCAGAGGGGTTATATGTGGCCATTCATGTGGTGAACTCTGCAGTGGGGGAGTAAAAGGTGGGCACAGTGAACACACTGGGGAAGACAGATAGGCAAAGCCAGGGGAAAAGTTCTGGAATTGAAGGAGGGACAGCATAGGGACATCCTTGTCTAATCGGGAAAAGGTTCTGTTCCAGCCTTCAACTGGTATCCACCAGAACAGCATCGTCTGTGGGCTGCTTCTTGTCAGTGAAGAAGACCTGCCTAAAGCACTCCTCGAGTCTTCAACCACCTGTACCTCTGCCTATTCTAGCTGCCTTGTTCCTCGACTGACAAAGTGCCTTATTGTACCAGATGTTCTTGTGGAATAGTTGCCACGTTGTAATATTACCTATTTTTTTAAGAAAAAAGTCAGAAAATCTAACAAAAAACTTTGTCTCACCTGGTCCTTAAAATATTCCAACCCCCACCTAGCACACCCACAGGCTTGTCAACCCCCTAACCCTTTGAAAGCAACAACGTTAAGTAAAAAAAGTTTACAAAAATGTAACTTAAAATCAATTAAAAAAGTTGTTTAAAGCCCCCACCTGCACAGAAATGTAAACGCATACACCTGCATGTAAAATGGTGCCACACATGTTAGGTATCGCCCTGCACCTTGGAGTGAGAGGAGTAATTCTCGGCCATAATTCACAGTTAGCTTGATGACCTGAAAAAGCTATTAAAGTGTTGGACATTGATAATTTTGGGCACCAAAAATTCTTTGCATTTTCATGGGTGCACGCAATTATCAGTCTCCACACTTGGCAACACTTCATCTTTTATATTTTACCATAGAAGTGAGTATTGTGGTTATGTCCACTAAAATTAATTTGAAAGCATTTTTTACTGAAAATTTGGCTTTAATAAATAGTGGCGCTAATATCGAGTGACAAAATATTGCAACTGCTGCCATTAGGGAATATATAAGTGGGAAGGAGGTTAAGTAATCTTCAGGCCTAAAATGTGCATTTTGATATATGCAAAAAAATGTAAAAATGGACCTGGCAGTGAAAGGGTTAAAGATCAACACTGATACCACACTAAAGGACACTCCCCCCGTCTGCGTTCTGTTTGTGATCCCAGACGACGGCATTGACCAAATAATGCTTAATCATGATTGGATCTACATCTCTGGATGGTGTGATTGGATTTATATTAGGGGGACAAATATGTAATTATGGTACAAAGATATATCACAGCACCTTCCTCCTGTGATGTCCACACAGCAGCTTCTATTCCCCAAATGGGTATTTCCTCCCAGAAATCCTGTCTTCACAACACCACAGGTGTCCACCTGCTAAATAGCTCCAGACAGCCATAGCATGGCCTGGCCAGAATGTCATTGTTCTGAGCTCCCTCAGAGAACAATGGGAGATAACGAGGGATGGTGCTGATAGTCTTTCCATAACCAGGTCACACAGCATAACGCACTCAAACATAACTCAACGCCAATACACATTTCACTTATAAACTGATCACCATGTCATCACACATTCAACATTTACTGACGGGGGGCGTGGCTTGGCTATGGCGGCGTGAGGAAGCACATTGCTGGAGCTCTGCTACCCCCGGGGACTATTCAGATGAACACGGCATCTTACAACCCAGTTCTTGATGTCTCAGAAAAGGAAATCCAAGTCTAACAACAGCAGGCGCTCACTGACATCGCTGCAGCGATACCTCTCAAGCCAGGCGCCATCGACCCGCAACACGCCGAGGAGGGCCATGGCTACCGAGACAGAGGGTAAGACTCAGAGGCCTACAACTCCATGCTCCCCTCGTGGTGCCCCGGCCTCACCGCCATCTCCGGATCCGGGAGTCCCCGCTAAGCAGCGTGCACCCAAATCGCCACCCGATCACAGTACCATCGAGGAACCGGTTATCCGCCTCACCCCGACCCCGCAACAGACACCAGACGCGTCACCCTCCTTATCCACCAGCGAGATCTCCTCCATCCTCCTATCCCTCCCTACGCGGCAGGATATGGCCGCCCTGGTCACCAAAATGGAGGCCACGCTGAAGAGAGATATAGCAGGCATCCACAAGACGGTCTCTCACCTGGAGACAAGAGTCTCCGTTCTGACAGATGACCAGGCCCAACTGTCCCGCCGGCTAGAACGCCTTGAGTCGGACAGGTCGACATACGATCGCCACATATCCACCCTGTTCTTAGCCCAGGATGACCTCGAAAACAGGTCCAGGAGGAACAACGTGAAAATCCGGGGGCTCCCGGAGGCTACGGGAGCAGCAGACCTCCGCCCCACAGTGTCGGCCATCCTTAACATTGTATTGGACAAGGCCCCGGATTCCCCCCTGGAGATAGACCGGGTCCACCGTGTGGGGGGTCCCAGACAAGATGGAGATTCCCGGCCCAGAGACGTGCTCTGCCGAATCCACTTTTTCGCGGTTAAGGAATCCGTGATGCGTAAAGCGTGGCAGAAGGGTCATGTCCCCTTTGATGGGGTTGACATAGCTATCCTTCCGGACTTGTCTCGCCGCACTCTCCACATGAGGCGGCTCCTACAACCCCTGCTAGCCGAAATCAGACGCGCTGGTGGCCTATACACGTGGGGTTATCCCTTCAGCCTGAACGTGCCCCGGAATGGCCGGTCCTTCATCCTGCGTCACCTGGCCCAGCTTGATGATCTATTTTCCTTCCTGGAAGTGGCGCCGGTAAGGATCCCAGATTGGCTAGGCCCGGACCTGGACGCCGAGTTCCGTCCACTACTCCAACGCAGAAGGCGCCGCAGCTCATCCTGGAACAGGCCCAGGGCATCCCGCCCTGCACCCACGAATAGCGAACCCTGACTTACCTGGAGAATGGAGGCGACTCGCCTCTCCGCGCCAGGAGCGCTGGCTACAACACTGGAACCCCCGCCGAAACCTACCCTACCAGCCGGTGAGAGAGAATTCGAGAACTGACACCACGGAGACACGAAGTCTAACCAGCCATGGATCATCACTCTGCTCCTGAGATACTGGTGAGGTACCCACTCCCCTAGTCCCTCATCGGTGAACCCCGCCACTCCTGGCATAAACTGTGCTTGCTGCTGTTTTGCCTCTTTCCTGCGCTACCCTAGTGGTAGCATGGGCCGCTGAAATGTCACTATACCTCAAGCTAAACCTGCCCGGCTACCCTGGGACTGC